TAAATACTTAAAAATGACACTTTTACATTCTTTCGCAGGAAGAGATAATAATTTTTTCTAAATGAATATGCACTTCTTTACCTCTCAAATACCATAATAATTTTAGCCTTCTTTCAATGACACTAGGTCATAACTATGAACATAAGTATTTATATTTTTCTGTGCATATGCACATACAAACACACACATAAAGCATCAGTATTTGTATCAACGTGTGTATATGTGTACATATACATTTTTATATATACATGTATATGCATGTGAGTGCATTTGCATATGGTAGACATGATGAGGGATCATAAAGAAAATGGTGTAGAATATGAGGCTGAATGACTAGAAACTCCATGCTTTACTTGGGAATTTCTTTTATTAAACACATCTCTCAGACGCTTGCTGTTTCAGTAATGGCACCTTTTTCATAAAGATACATATTTCTTCATCAAGATATATACTTTTCTGTAAGTGTGTGTGTATATATATACTTCCTGTAAGAAAAGTATATATATACTTACTTTTTCTGTAAGAAAAGTATATATATACTTACTTTTTCTGTATGAAAATATGTATGTATTTTCATACAGAAATAGTAAGTATATATATACTTTTCATACTTTTCATACAGAAAAGCATTCTTTTACTACCAGAAGAGCATTTTTCTAAGCTCTTCTATTACTACCAGCAGAGTATTCTTCTAAGCTGTGTGATGTCCTCTACAGCAGCAAAGCATGGCCGAATCCACAAAATACCTTATTAGTGAAAGTCTAAAGTAACCTACTCCAGAATAGCTTTCCCTACCCTCCAGAAAAGTCTGTTTCTCAGCAGCAGTCAAACCCTCTGTTACTTAGGCATCACTGATACCATGCAGCTCTCTGTGGCAGCTTGCATTTTCTCCTCTTCTTTATCTGAATAACTGGGCTAATGTGGTATGAAGAAGGAACCTAACATCTTCATTTCAAGGATTGGTACTAGAGTGTGACGTCAAAGGTATCTTTAAAAACGATAAGTTCTTTACCAGCAGAAGATGGTAACACTTCTATAGACATGACTCTAAATACAATTCTATCAATTTTATGAAGCTATAACTAATGCTTGATTTTGATCAGAAAGGACAGGTAATAGGAACATTTGCTTTTTCAATAACCCCAAAAGACTAAAATCTCTTAGAGAATCTTAAAGTAGAAACAGTATACTTCAGTACTTAAGAGACAGACTGCTATAAAAGGGGAATACTAAAAGAACCTATCCTATAAGGTGTTTGAGGATTAAATGAGTGAATTCATAAAAAATGCTCAGGATAGTGCCTGGTCACATATTATTATCTAAACCAATGAGCCTCAACAAGGGGTTGGTCCAATACCTAAGGGGCTATTTTTGGTTGTCCTGATTATTGGGGTGCCACAGACATTTAGCACATGAGAGCCAGTGATGCTAGTCATTTTATATGCCTTTTGAATGACTGAGTGAACTTTAGAAATCCCAAAAAGTAGGGACATTTCAAAAGAGATATTTTCTGCAATCTTCATTAATTATTTCATTCCATGGCATAACAGTGAATTACTTTGATACTGTACATATAAAAACTAGCTGATTTGCAAGAATATTGTCTTTCCTTATTTTTCCAACTTGACATCCTATGATTTATCTTGCTATGTTATTCTTATTTTGATTGCCTGTATTTCCCTATTTCTCTTATGAGATTTAATTTCATTCTATTACTACTAACATGAGCTTTTATCCTACAACTGTAGATCTGCTCAGGGCTATGACACTGTAGAACTCCAGATGGCACTATTTACATTATACTCTACACAACTCATAAATCCTTGCAACTGTGCAAGTTGACTGCCTTGCCTCTGCCTTACATTTTTGTGTTATCTAATTTTTCTGATATCCAGTCTTATTCGTTGTAAAGAATAACAAAAGCTACCTCACTATGTCTTCATATGTAGTTGTATCTGAGCTTATACACAATGCATTATTATTCTATTGGTTTTCCTTTTATAGAAACATATAGTAAAATTAAGGGACTATAACAATTTTCTGTACTTACATATTTGGAAGGCTACATTTTCGGTGAGTTTCATTTAAAAAGGTGTGGTAGGCATTATAAAACGTTTGTTAGAAAGGCAGTGTTGGAACTGATAAAGACCGACTTTAATGAGAACTCAATTTTCTTATAAACTTGCATAGATCACAGAATAGTAAAACTAGATGGAATCTTAGATAAAATGTAATCTATCATCTTCCATAATAACATTTTATATTATCAGAGGTACTTTGGTTCACAGTATGACTCTTTATTCTATTTGATTCATAATTTGGCAATTTTCAATACAACACATACATTTCATGAACCTATTCAGGTGACAGATTGTTTTAAAATAGTGTTCCTAGGGCAAAATTCTGCTAGCTGATTATAATATCGTGTCTTTCTTTGAAATGTCAAAGTCAAACATCAGAAAATATGCACAGATCAAAATATTAAGGTTATTTAAAAATTTTTTAAGCACTGAGTCTGCTCTTTACAGTACAGAATACATGTTGTAGAACTGCTCATATGATAGTCTCTTTTGTCACATATGTGATAATGTAAGAATATATAAGTGATATTATAAGAATCTTACATTATCACATATGTCCTCTCAGAATTCCTTCTTTTCTTGCTATGAGAGTGTATGATACTATCTACTCTTTCTCATTTTAAATTTGTTTTTATATGTGTTCTGTTTTTTTAAAAAATCTTACCTATATTGCTTAGGTTTTGGCCTAAGAGGTTTGGCTTTAATAACCAATCAGAGTTGTTTATTTTTGGTTGGTGAACTAAGCTGTAAAATCTAAAAATACTTTGATGTGCATCAACCCGAAAATCTCAGTGGTTTACAAAAATAAGCATAAATTTCTTGCACATGGGTCTATGGGAATCCATAATGCCATATGGGTCCATATCTGCTCCATGTGTTTCTCATTCTGTGATTGGTAGCTATCTAGGACATGCTCATCTTACAGCAAATGACAGAGCACAGGAGGTCAAGTCAAGCCAGGCAAAACATTTGAAGCTTCTGCTGTGTCACACCTGTTAATGCTACATTGGCCTAAACAATTCACAAAGGAAGGGCCAATCAGGTGGGAAAATCTCCTTTCATGGGAGGGTGAAAGGAAAGCAAATATTTGTTGAACACTAATATCAACAACCACAGTCTGGCAAAATGAGAAACTTAGGAGCAACGTAGTGAGGTTTTAAAAAATTAGATTTATTTAAATGAAAAGACTTACTCTTTAGTTATGCCTTTCCTACTTTTTAGAGTAATAATGTCCTTTCTTTTATAAAATGATAATGGTAGAAGGCAGTAAACGTAAGAGTCTTATATTTGACAAAATAAAAAGTTATCAACCCTATGTCAGTCCCCTAAATTTTTAAATAATTTTGCTAGTGTACAAAAAAAACTGAGTCATAAGAAAACAAACAAACAAAAACATAGATACTGAGTGTGATCCTAGGTCTCTCTGGCTTTTGTTCACTATTCAGAGGCGATTCCTTGGCTTGCAGAGACACTGATTTTCCCCCTTTGCAGATTTCATTATTCCAAATGCTTGTGATTAGGACAGTCTTACGTTTTAAAGGGCTGAAATGCCATTATTTATTTCCAGTGATTGAATTTTTACCTTAAAACAATTCCATTTACTCTTCAAGTCACTATACAAACTTGATTTTGTAGTACCTGGGGCTCTAGAATCTTAATGTCATGTAAATCTTTCATATCTCTGACATGAAAATTTTAACAGACAGTACATAAAGAATAATGGCTTATGACTCTATCACTTTAAAAAGATGAGCTATATTAAGAAGATTAAAAATTTAAAAAGTAGCTAGCAGCTTTACTTCTAACGTGAACTCATACATATTTAATAGTTTTATATGTACATAAGTACTAATAAATACTAAGGATTTTGGCAGAGTTTTATGAAACATTATGCAAAACAGCAGAGCAGCAGTTTTTCTCTTCCTCAGTATTGTTAAAGCAAATGAAGCAACTGACACCCTTCCAATGACTGATGCACTCATTCCACTCCTGACTTCTCAGCTTATTTCCACCTGCTATTCTTCCTTTTCATCTTGTTCTTTACTTGTAAAATTCTCCAGCTTTAGGCACTATTAAAATGTTATAGCTACCTCATCTGTTCTAAATTAGAGGGTGAGGTAGAAGAACATAATAGTTAAATGTATTGTATCTAAAAAAAAACTTACGTAGAAACTACTGATTTTATCAAAACACTAAATTTTCCATCAGTCTTATGTAGCAGATGAGAGTCATAGTTCATTATTACACACTAACTTATACAACATCTGTGAAGTAACTTGACAACTGCATTTTACTCCTACTCATCTTGTCCAATATTGAAGAATTTGATCCAATGTATGTTTGTGTGTGTGTGCTTTTTTTTTTTGAGATGGTGTATCGCTGTGTCACCCAGGCTGGAGTGCAGTGGCACAATCTTGGCTCACTGCAACCTCAGCCTCCCGGGTCCAAGCGATTCTCTTGTCTCAGCCCCCCGAGTAGCTGGGATTACAAGTGTGCACTACCATGCATGGCTGATTTTGGTATGTTTAGTAGAAATGGAGTTTCGCCATGTTGGTCAGGCTGGTCGTTAACTCCTGACCTCAGGTGATCCGCCCACCTTGGCCTCCCAAAGAGCTGGGATTATAGGCGTGTGGCACTGTGCCCAGCCCAATATAGATTTGGAATTCATAAATGTGAAAATCTGAAACAAGAGATAAAAGACACACATGGGAGGCAAGGGAAGTTTTCATTAATGGCGATGAGGGCTCATCTCACTGGTTTTGAAACTCATGTGTGTGCCATACCAACAGTTCAAATAAGGTATGCTTCTTTTACAACACTGTAGAATTTATATAAAAGTCACATTGTTTTCTCATTTTAAAAATGTAATTCTCATTAAAATGACAATTTAAAAATGTGGTTATAACATAAGCAACATACCTACAGGTGTGATCGTCACTCACACTTGCAATTTCTTGGCCTTCTTTGGGATCAAACACCAAACCATTAATGAAATCTGTATGGCCCTCTAAAACCTAACAGAAAGAGAAAGCTTAGTAAGAAAACAGAAAAATAACCTACAATATTCCTACATAATATTTTTGCTTCACTGCCTTAAAAGCTTTCACTGCATGTTTTTCTATAAATATTTCTTAAGCAATCTGCTATTTTTAAAGCATGATTTATACACCCACTTTTCTGGAAGGTTTATCTTGGAAAGAAATTGATCATTCAACACACTATTAGCTTAGTCTTTCTTTTCTAGTATGCAATTCTTACAAAAACCCACACGCATTTTTATTGTACCTGTCCTCATATCACCTCCTTTCTCACTTATTATATAAAGCCTAAATAAAAATTAGAGCTAGAAAACTTTTTAGGGGTACTTTTTAGGGTACTGAGGGGTACTTTTTTAGGGTACTTTTAGGAACTTTTTAGGGTACTGAGGTAGAGTACTTCTAGGCTTTTTACCTTATATCTGTTGTTCTGCATACTCACTACTACTTAACAAACATACACAGGATGGACTTCCCCATCCAATGACTTCATTTACACGCTCAATGTGACTGCCAGCAGTGAAGACAGTTAGTTGTTATAAGCCCATAGTCATCACAAACACAAAAAATCTTCTCGACACAGAAGCAATAAATGAGAAGTTGCACAGTGGAGGACTGTGTGAGCAGGTAAGGCTCAATCTGTCTAAATCTTCATAGTTGAAATGCTAAATAGGCCTGTCAGATAATTACTTTAATGGTTATCATTCTTTCTACCTTTCCTTCTTTCCAAAAACTCAAATTTGATCTCAGTTCTGAGGTTATTAAAGCAGTTCTATATAGTACTGCTCACTGTGTAGAAATGTAACATTAAAAAAGAAAAAAAGGATTTGGGTCAAAGATTCCCGAGCAACTTTAACAAACCCAGGTCCTCCAAATCATTCTCCAAAGCTTCTGTCACAGTCTACAAGACAAACTAAATTAACAGTAAATGTTTAATGTGTATTATAACTAGCATATTAACTTTGGATAAGTCAAAATTTTATGTGCCATTTATATACTTGGTTATTTCTGGTACAGCCTTAAATTAACCAATCCATACAGTACATTAAGCCCATTGTAAATAGCTTACAGCATATTTTTTTTTTTTACTATTTTCTAAATGATTGGAAAAGTTTATAATTTATCTTTGTTTTATAACAATATTCATATTTTGGCTTATTAGAAAGCCAAGAAGGCAATACCATTCTTATAAGAAAACATGATGCAATTTCAACCCAATCTGAGGGTTATTATTATAGTAACAGAAAACACATATGGCGTTTACTATGTACCAACATTATTCTAAGTGTTTTATATGAATTTGCTCAGTCAATGCTCGTAATCCTATAAGGCAGCTGCTATGATTACCCATATTTTACAGGTAAGGATATTAGCACAAAGAGATTAGGTTACTCAACCAAGGTCACACCATTACTAAGTAATAATACTGGGATTTAAATGCAAGGAATCTGGCTTCTGTGTCTGTGCTCTTAACCACTTTGGAATCCTGCCTGTGCTATGCTGTACTGATCATTTGTTCCCATGAAGTTCAACTCTTACTCTATGAATGGTCATGTCTATCATACTCCTACTACATCCAACTGTAAATTTCTAATTCTTTCTTATTTGTTGTTCCTACCTAATATTTCAATAAGAGATATCAGATTTATAGTCATTATTAAGAACCTAGTTCTTAGTAATATAGTAAGCTAGTTACTATAACCTATAGTAGAGTAAATGAGACCCTAAATTATATACTTTAATGATGACCATAAAAAGCCATTTTAAATTGGAATAAATGCAATTAAAAAAGCAAAAAACAAACACGTTTTAAAATAAACTCTAAAGATGTAGACAGTTGTCAACATACCTTATATTCATTTTTATCTTGAAGATCTGAAGTAAATAATCTAATTTTCATATCAGCAGCTGAAGTACAAAATCTGGAAGCAAAAAACCAAAAATATACCAATTTTCAGCCTTTGTAAGTGAAAAGTCTCCCCTTTCCCCATCCTTCCCTCCAGGTCACTGAAGCTTTTATCATAACTCATAATCATGCTTTTTATGGAGGGGGAAAGAAGACTGTTGTGGCTTTATTGTAAAAAATATTATACAGCCATCACAGAAAGTAGGAGTCATATTATTTTATTTTGAGAACATACAAAAGGTTAGTCTATTCTGGATTTGCTTTTTCAATAATAAAAGTATAGAATTTTACACTAAATCAGCACTTGAATTTAATTTTAAATGTTTTCTTAAAAGCAAAAAAGGATGGATTTTAAAAAGTATCTTCATTTTAGCCAGGTCAACAAGAGATATTAAAAATATTGTTATACATCTACTTTAGTCTTTGCCCTCTTCTGTTATCCATAATCCTTAGTTTTTTCTATTCCTCCAAATAAATCAGATGAAGTAAGATACTATTTTTATAACTATAAAAGCTGATACATTTATACCTACTAAAGGCTGGAGTATTATTTATACTTTAAACATTTAAAACATGTTTTTCAGTAATCAATGGATTATTAAATTAAAAAACAAAACCTAAGCAGCAAACCCTCCTTTTTTTTTTTCTTTTTTTTGAGACAGTCTTGCTTTGTCACCCAGGCTAGAGTGCAGTGGTATGATGTCAGCTCACTGTAGCCTCCACCTCCCAGGTTCAAAAGATTCTCCTGCCTCAGCCTCCCAAGTAGCTGGGATTACAGGCGCCCTCCACCACACATGGCTAATTTTTGTATTTTTAGTAGAGACAGGGTTTCACCATGTTGGCCAGGCTGGTCTCAAACTCCTAACCTCAGGTGATCCACCCACCTCGGCCTCCCAAAGTGCTGGGATTACAGGCATGAGCCACTGCGCCCGGCCAATAACCACTTTTTAAACTAGTTTACCTTTAATCCTAAATTTTCTAGATTCGCAGGATGTGAGACAATGGCTGAGAAAAAAATACAAATTATATACTGAAAAACAAAAGTTTATTTTCAATTCTTTGGTAAAAAGAGTATCATACACAGATCTAAATTCATTCTTTAGTTTGACTACAGTGAGCCATTTTTTTCTTAACTAAAGGCTCTTAATCCACAGACCCTGATGTGTTGGTAGACCTTTGCTACTACACCCCTTTCCAGTAATTTGTCAAGAGTTGTTAGAGAAAACAGATCAAAGCCACCAGGGAATGATTCTTTGTCCAAGGTCTTCTCAGAGGTAAAATTAAAGTGGTAGTGGAATAAAGCATGTTTTCTTTCAAGAAATGTCTACTCAGGTTCTTTGCCCATTTTAAAATACAACTGTTTTCTTGTTATTAATTTGAGTTCCTTACATATTGTTGATATTAGCCCCTTATCAAGATGTATGATTTGCAAATATTTTCTTACTATCTGTAGGTTGCATCTTCACTCTGTTGTTTTCTTTGCTGTGCAGCTCTTTAGTTTAATACAATTCCACTTGCCTAGTTTTGCTTTTGTTTCCTGTACTTTTAGGGTCAGATCCAAAAAATTCACTGTTGTGGAGATTAATGTTGTGAAGCCTTTTCTATTTTCTTCTAGCCATTTTACAGTTTAAGGTCTTAGGTTTAAGTCTTTAATCCAATTTCAGTTGATTCTGCACATGGGGTGAGATAACGGTTTAGTTTCATTCTTCTGCATGTGTATATACCATTTTTTGCAACAACATTCATTGAAGACACTGTACTTTCTTCATTGTATGTTCTTGGCATCCTTGTAAAAAATTGATTGACCATAAATGCATGAATTTATTTCTGGGCTCTCTATCCTATTCTATTGGTTGAGGTATTTCTTTTTGTGTTAGTACCATGCTGTCTTGAATACCACAGCTTTGCAATATATTTTGAAATCAGGTAGTGTGATGCCTACGGGTTTGTTCTTTTGTGCTCCAAATTGCTTTGGCTATCTGGGGTGTTTTATGATTTCATATAAATTTTTAAATTGATTTTTCTATTTCCGTAAAGAATGACATTGGAGTTTTGATAGGTAGGCACTGCATTGAATCTGTGGATTGCTTTGAGGAGTAAGAACATTTTAACAATATTAATTCATCCAATCCCTGAACACAGGATATGTTTCCAATTATTTGTGCCAAGTTCAATGTCTTTCATCAATGTTTTATCATTTCTGTGTACAGATCTTTTGCCTCCTCAGTTAAATTTATTCCTAAGATATTTTGATGCTTTTGTAAATCATATTACCTTAATTTCTTTTTCAGATAGTTCATTGTTAGTATATTAGAAAGGTTACCGATTTTTGAATGTTGATTTGTATCATGCAACTTTACTGAATTCATTAATCAGTTCTAACAGTTTTTTGGTGGAGTCTTTAGCTTTTCGGTATATAAGATCATGCATCAGGAAACAGATAATTTAACTTCTTCCTTTCCTATTTGGATGTCTTTTAATTCTTTTTCATATCTAATTGCTCTGGCTAGGACTTCAAGTACTATGTTGGCAAAATACTAGCAAACTGTAATCAAGAGTACATTAAAAAGATTATTCACCATGATCAAGTGGGACTTATCCCTGGGATGCAACGATGTTCAACATACGCAAATAAATATATGTGGTTCACTTTATTAACAGAATGAAAGACAAAAACCACATCATCTCAACAGATGCAGAAAAAGAATTTGACTAAAGACAACATTATTTCTTGATAAAAACTCAACAAATTAGGTATAGACAAAATATTCTGCATCACAATAAAGGCCACCTGTGACAAGCCCACAAGTAACATCATTCTTAATGGTGAAAAGACGGTGGTCTCTCTTTTAAGATTAGGAACAAGGACGTCCATTTTTGCCACTTATATTCAAAATAATACTGGAAGTCTAGCCAGAGCAATTAGGTAATTCTATTTTTAATTTTCTGAGGAACCTTTGGAATGTTTTTCATAGCAGCTGCACCATTGCTACATACTGACCAACAGTACAGAAGAGTTCCAATTTCTCTACTTCCTGGGTCAGCATTTGTTATTTTCTGCTTTTTTGGTAGTGGCAATCCTAACATGTGAGGTAACCTCTCATGTGGTTTTGATTTGTATTTCTTTAATGATTAGTGATGTTGAACATCTTTTCCTATGCCTGTTGGCCATTCATATACCTTCTTCGGAGAAATGTTTATTTAAGTCTTTTTGAATCATTTTTAAATGGGATCATTTATTTTGTTGTGGTTGAGTTGTGGAAGTTTTTTATATACATTCTGGATATTAACCCCTTGTTAGGTATATGGCCTGCAAATATTCTCCCCCATTCTGTGGGTTGCCTTTTGACTCTGTTGACTTTCCTTGCCATGTACTCGTTTTAAAGTTTGATTTAGTCTCATTTGTCTATTTTTGCTTTTATTGCTTGTACTTTTGTTATCAAAACTAAGAAATAACTGCCAAATCTAGTGTCATACAGCTTTTTCCAGATCTTTTCTTTTAGGAGTTTTATAGTTTCAGGTCTTAGGTTTAGGTCCCATTTCGAGCTCATTTGTGCAAGGTCCAATTTTATCATTCTGCATGATACTCAGTTTATTCAACACCATTTATTGAAGAGACTATCCTTTTCCCCATTGTGTAGTCTTGGAACCTTTGTCAAAGATCATTTGATGGCTATGTGAAGGTATTTTTCCTAAGTTTTCCACTCTGTTCCATTGGTCTACATATTTATCTTTATGCCAGTACCATACTGTTTTGATTACTGTATAGCATTGTAATACGATTTGAAATAAAGAAGTGTGCGACCTTCAGCTTTCTCAAGATTGTTTTGGTCATTTGGGGTCCTTTGAGATTCCATTTGAATTTTAGGATGGTTTTTCTGTTTCTGTAAAAGTGCCACAGAGGTTGATAAGGACTTCATTGACTCTGTAGAGCTTTGGGTAGCATAGACACTTTAATACTACGAAATCTTTCAATCCATGAACACAGGCTTTCTTTCTATTTATTTGTATCTTTCATTTCTTTCTGCAATGTTTTGTAGTTTTCAGTCTTTGGCTTCCTTGGTTGTCTAGTGAGGGTTCTTATGAAAGGGGATACCATGCACTACATTAGCATACAGTTTATTTTGCACCTCTATATATTTATATATTGCACAAGAATGCCATGGTCGGGTGCAGTGGCTTATGCCTGTAATCCCAGCACTTTGGGAGGCCAAAGTGGGCAGACTACTTGAGCCAGGCGTTCCAGACCAGCCTGGGTAACCTGGCAAAACCACATCTCTACAAAACAAACAAACAAACAAAAAACAATTAGCCGGGTGCAGTGGCGTGTGCCTATAGTCCCAGCCACTTGGGAGACTGAGGTAGGAAAATCTCTTGAGCCTGGGAGGTGGAGGTTGTAGTGAGCCAAGATCACGCCATTGCACTCCAGTCTGGGTGACAGGAGCGAAACTCTGTCTGAACAGCAAGAATTCCATATTATCTTTAGCAGGTTAAAAAGTGCCCTCAGGCTGGGCACAGTGGCTCCCGCCTGTAATCCTAGCACTTCAGGTGGCCGAGGTGGGCGGATCACTTGAGGTCAGTTTGAGACCAGCCTGGTCAACATGGCGAAATCACATCTCTACTAAAAATACAAAAATTAGCTGGGCATGGTGATGTGCACCTGTAATCCCAGCTACTCTGGAGGCTGAGGCAGGAGAATCACTTGAACTTGGGAGGCTGAGGTTGCAGTGAGCCGAGATCACGCCAATGCACTCCAGCCTGGGTGACAGAGCGAGGCTCCCTCTGAAAAACAAAACAAAACAAAACAAAACAAAACAAAAACAAAAAAAAAGTGTCCTCAAAAAGATAAGTCTATCTGCTAACCCCTGGTAACTATAAGTGCTGCTTTATTTGAAAATAGGGTTTTGCAAACATGATTAAATTAAAGGATACTGAGATGATCATCCTGGATCTAGGGTGGGCCCTAAATTTAACAATGAATGAAACACAAAAAAGGATAAACACAGAGGAGAAGGA